AGGGCCGCCACCCAGCAATCTTGTTACCTTTTTGGAGATTTTGCTGAGCCAGCCGGCAAGGACATGCAGTGCTGACTGGTCTTCGATATCCCCTTTCACGGTCGCTACATCGCTGCTCCACTCACTAGGTCTTGTTGTATACTTTGATTGACAGCTTGGCAACTGGTGTTCGATAATTGTCCCATGCAAAGCTTTTCGGCGTAGGCTTTCTGTATTCTGAGCAACAGTATTATTGAGATTGACAAAACACCAAGGTTGGGATGTCTGCTCAATGGCTCAATTCAATTGGATGCATAAAGTGCATTTTCTATGAGGCCTCTGGTACTCAATCATATGCACAGCCAGCAGCATTGGCAGTCGAATCTGCACTCCTTGAAGAGGGATCTTCGCAGCACGACGTAGATCTTGTAGATCCGGAAATGAGAGAAGAAGAAGTCCGCATTTGCAATCTGAGTTGCGAGACATTCAACCATTGCTGATCTGTCGAGAATGTTGCATCCATTTGCCTCCTATTTCTCTTGATTGTGACAGTCTGCAACTAAAGACTTGCTACACGGGTCATACCGTGCTGAGAAAAGACAACATCACAGTGCAAAAAGAACTGGCTTTCCAGAACGTCGACGACAAAAACAACAACTAGCAACAAGTTCACTCGTTAATCTTTAATGAACAGTTTGCCTAAGTTTGCCTTGCCTATATATATACAATTATGTATATTTATATACAAGTTACTGTAGTGTAAGTCGTCTGTGGCGGCTCCTTCTTCGCTCTTCGCCGAATGTTTTGATCAGGTCGAGTTCCAGGCCATCATGAGTGTGCCAAGAATGATGGCAATCAAAACGTCCTGGAATATACCGCATTATTTATTGCCGCAAAGCTACCGCGCAAAGCGCGGTGTGGATGACGAATGTATTGCAAAACACTTGATGCTGATGACCCAGGCGGTGTGATCGAATTGCTTGATCAGTCCTGAAAGGCTTTCAACTTGGCCAGGAACATAATCCTCGGCTTGCAGTCAAACATATTTCTCATACACATGAAGCAAAAAGAAATAACCAACTGGGTCGTCAAGAATCTTCCCAAAGGCATCTCTAGTATTATAGGCAAGCAGCAATTTCTGGTAAATGCTCTACACACCGACCCCAGAGATATGTCATAGTCATACTGTCACCTTCAATTTGTGTTTTTTTTTCTCAAGCATCACTTCCCAAAGCAGTGCCCACGACTCTTGGAATCTGTGGCCGATTTAGGAACAAATGGAGCACCTCCAGGCACCTCCCAATTGGATCATGTCGAGTGGCAAAATCACAGTTGCCCAAACGAGGATGGTGAAAAACTCCATCCAATCTCTTCCAACCTGGTCAGGTGCATCCTCCAATGTCAGTCCATCGGTCCATCCTTCTCGAGCGCTTGGTGCGGTCTTGGCTGGCCTCAATATGTCTTTACTATTTCAACTGGAACAAAGGAGACCCAAACCAGAAACACAAGCTGAGCAACTCATTCAACACCCACATACCCTTACTTCGTTTTCCACAAAACCACTCTACATCTGCAATAACATCCACTCAATTCCAAATCTTAAAGTGGATCCAATACACTGAACTCACAGTTTTGACATGCAGAGCCTGCTTCTTGCTGATGGGCAACATCGCGCTTCGCCTTGGCTGAGAACTGGAAAGGAACAGGCAGAAATGCTACTAACTAACCTGATGGATGCAACCGAATCCTACCTGGTATTCTGCAAAATCTATGTTAAGAGATATTTGACACAACTTGACTGTTCTGCCCCAACAGTATCTCTTTCACAACAAGAACTCCTTCAACAGTTGAGCACCCAACGAGGCCACGCGCCGAGGCAAAGCTATCGAGCCAAAGACAACAGCTCGATAAAAGCCTTTGACCGACAAACTGTCCGACAGTTGCATTCCCAAGCCTTCACTGCTTCTGCGACAAAATACTTCAGGTCTTGAGGGCACGTGGACAACTACAGTCGACTGAGTTCGCTTTTCATCAATGGGCATGGCCAAAACGGTCCTACGGGTATCACAAACCAGTTGATTGCCAATGCCAAAACAAACTGGCATCACCAACACCAACTTCCATGCAACGAAGATTCTGCTGATTGTGCCTTAATACGCCACACCATTCTATTTGTCGCCAATTTTGGGTTTTTGTTTGGGGCAGCGTCCGGGCAACAAAGATCCATTTACAGAAGTGTCTCGTCGCATTGATCCAACGTCCTGAAGCAAGCAAGTCCAACGCACGCTGAAACTGATGATTTGTTAGGGTGAAGAGTACACAAGCTTGAGCAGCCAGGCCAACAAGAAAGCTAGTAGTAACAGGTGCCACGCTAGTAGGAACAGGTGCCACGCTAGTAGTAACAAGTGCCTTACTAGTAGTAACAAGAAGCTAGTTGGGACAATTCTTTTCGTCAGGCAGGACCGGAGTCCGATTTCACCTGCTTCGGCTACAGCACCCGTTGAAAACCCAATCTCTTCAGAGCCTGCTGGAGTGGCGAGCTCGTCTACTAAGTCTCATCAAATCTCCACAGCCCCTGACTGGCATTCATCATCATTCATCTGGAAGAGCTCACAACAACGCTTGCACTGGGCATAGATTGGTTGGCTTTGGCAGCGGTGCTTGAATTCGCATGTGGCAAACTTTGGTGTTGATCAAACCAAGCGTTTCATGGTTTCTCGGTGCGCAAACCCTTGCTGGCTTCAGAGTGCTTCTTAACTTCAGTGTGCCTCAACATATTCGTCAACGATTATATATTGTCTTGGGTGTTACTTCCCTGGATGTAATATAACTATATACATAACAATGTCAACATGAAAGAGTTACTGTTGATAATGTTTAAAATGTTACTTCAGGACCCATGATCTGCCAGCTGCCAGCTGCCTCAGAATCGCCATCCCTAGCAAAGGTCTTAGGATGAGAGGAAACACTGAAGGGGTCATCCAGTAAGATCTTTCACTGACCTATCAAAGTCTTTCCAGAAACTTGTCAAAGTTTACAGAACTGGGAGCAAGGACGCTACTAACTAGGGGCTCCTGGTAACTGCGTCATGAACTCGCAACCCCGGGCTTACAAGTACGACACACATGCCAATGTCCAACACGTGATCGATCGTGTCGCTTGAACCCCCCCTGGAGGCGCCTGCTGGTCAACCACCCAATTCACTCACGGCCTTCTGAGCAAAGAATTTCACATCTGGATCCTGCACAAAGGCCACGTAAGATCCGACGGCCAAGTGGAAACCACTCAGTTGTGGCCACGAAGCCCTTGTGTAAACTTACATAGAAGGATCTGGTCTGGTATGTATATCAATGCATATACATCCAACAACAAATTCAAGTGACGCTGAAAAGGCACCAATATGACACGTTCCCTTCTATGTACAGTAGGTCTTCCACAAATCTGCTGTGGCTCATCTCGATCGACCTAGAAAGGAACCTGCATAAACTACAGTAGCGCATTTCACCAACATACGTTGAGTGATTGAGCGGCAGTTTAAACTACTTGTCTTGATCTCCTCATCCTGAAGTAGGCGGTACAAGCACGGCTGTAGCTGGCCATCAAAGCTGGCTGGGGTGTTGTTGCCGACAACCTGATTTATCACCTGGCAAAGCAATGGCCTCCAACCTACTAGCGATGGCCTCCGACCTACACCTGGCAGTCTCAGTCTTGAAAACAATATCGGCAAATATCTGCGACTGCTGTAGCGGCAACATGGCCATGATTCGACATTGTCTACATGAAGTAGTAGTTGACACAGCCGGCTTCGGCAGTCTTTCTGTGAAGTTCATGTTGTCAAATCGTACGTAGTTACCCGGAAAGGTGTCCTAGCAGAAGAAAGCATCGTCTGATGTCAGACTCGCGAAAATATTTAGGCTACAAATGCATATGTGACAGGAATCAGCGAATTGGCAGCCCCACCAGGATTGTCTTGGCAGCGTTGAATCGGACATTTGGCACAGGGTCACTGGTGAGTTTCACCACCTCACAGCGTACCAGTACTGCAACATTCGGCTTTGGCACAAGTGCAATAAATACGTGGAAACTAAGTTTTGTCGCGGTTCGTGAGACATTCATGTCACAAACACAGGGCACGAGGGCGTGAAAGCTCATGTCGTGCTTTATCTTGCTTTGCTATTTTTGGCTTGGCCCCTTCAATGGGAATAGGAAAGAATATCAATATCGGAATATCCAATTCCGATCTTTCTCAAAGCAACATGTTGGGAGTCGACCACAATTCTCAAACTCAGGCCCTTTTTCAAGGCGAGCTGCCTCTCTTGAGCCTAATTAGGCTCAGCATATATGATGTCATCAGCCTCTGACTTTTGCAGAACTGGGAAAATCCGAAATGTCCAGGCCTCTAAAATGTGCAAGATGCACAAGCCGGAATACAGCCTCACAGGCGAAGATGAATTTCTCAGCGAACGGAGGCCATGATGCAATCTTGGCACCTCTCAAGGCAGGCATCCACCTGGCGAGAACAACGAAGCCAGCGGTCAATGTAATCATTGTATCTTGGATCTGACGTCGGTGGCTGTGGCCCAGCACACTTGCTTGTGCTGCCACAGGCGAAGCCGCAAACACAGTTATGAGAGGACCTGTTCAAAGCAGCCAGGCTCACATTCTGCACCCCACGAAGTGAGGGCACAGTTGCAGGGGTTCCGGCTCCGGTGCTGTTTGGATCACTTGCGCAAGCACTCGCGCTGAGGAAGACCCAAAGGAGAAAGAATCGTCCAATGGAAGCCATGGGCCTCTATGCACAGTCAGTCGCGATCGCTTACAAACCTGTATCAAAACCTTGAGCCAAATATCGGGGAAGTTAGTTTGCTTGGCTGGACCATACGAGACTCGATCACCCACGTCAGGACAAACAAACGACACATTTCTGACTCAACGGAATATCTGTGCATCACAAAAAAAACGCTGGGCTTACCACCATGGGAACCAAATGCTTGTCGATGAAGTCTCTGCCAGACACCTGATGAATGTGTCGATGCTGCAGCACTGCGAAGGGCCATCCCCAACGACGGACCCAGTTCAATTTCAAGCAATTAACAATATTCTCTGGTCTCACTAGAGTAATGCTGGTGCCGCTGTATTTTTCTTACTTTATCTGCATTGTTTTTGTTCATTAGCTGCTCAGCTAACGACCTCTGCCAATGCACGCATGGACAGGATCGCCGTGATCCGGTAGAGGTAATTCTTGTGCTCGGCCAGTGTCTGCCGAATTTGCACGGTGGCAGCAATTGTCATGGCAATATGCGGGTATCCATGAATTCAACCCATGCTAAGGCATGAATGCCAATGTCTGGATGCATTGTTCTGCAAGTCATGTCATTCAGCTTCTGAGGATTCTCTAAGGTCTCAGTCGTCTATATAAGTCAGCACTTGTTCTGCAATGTTGTCTGTACACGACTTATAGAAGCCCTTTCATTGACATGTCGAAACAGAGTGCCTCAGCCTCAAAGAGATCAGCTAGAAAAAAAAAGGTACAGATCCTTAACCTTCCTTAACTCCTAGAAGGGTTGCAAAAGCACCCACCACAAACTGTCGGTGCGGAAGTCTTTCGACTCCACACCTGGAGTTGGGGGATGATGTTCACCTCACTCCAGCGCTGGCCTGAAGCGATTGGCGCGATGTCACGCGATGTCACCGAGGAAAGCGTCTGTTGATTCATACAGAACTAGGTACCCAAACGCAGAAGGGCTTGGGGCCTTGGGCTTGATGCTTCTATGATTTGGTTCCTAGTAACAAGTGCATCGCTAGTAGTAACAAGTGCCTTACTAGTAGTAACAAGAAGCTAGTAGAAACAATTAACTAATAGCTTCTTGCTCCTAGATATTGGGGAAACGTAAGTGACTGGGATCACAGTGCCCACACGAGGTGGACCGCCTTTGAACAGCAGAATCACAATGGTCTACCAATGTGCCTTCACTTGACAAGTTGGGAAGAGTCATTGAATATGTGGAATTTGAATCATTGTGCTTGCATTTGTCCAAGCAAATCCAAACGGACCTAGCTTTGCCAGAGCCTAAGATGTTGTCTTGCAGCTGGAATTCCCTAAGATCCCGACCCAACTCTTCACCGAGCCGGTTGAAGCTGGCTGCAAAGGCATCCCTGCGTGGCGAAAGCTGTTGATGATCCGTCTACTAGCCTACAAAAAAGATCAAAAAAGCAACTCCAACAAGGTCCAATAGTGGCTTCGGGCTTCAGAATTATATATATATATATAGTTCGATCCTTCATTTGGGTTCATGCACACACCCAGACTGAGCCAGGGGACGGTGATGCTCAAGCATTCGTGAATCTTCGATCAGCCAAGAGCCATGACATTGGACCCAGTATTTGATCTTGAGACATGCTGCTAAAGACCTTTGTCGGATCCTGTTGACACTGATCAAAAGGGTCACCTGTGCGCCGTGTGTGTGTGTGTGGGTGTTCAGAGGTTCCTTCTCACACTCCAAGGTTCTGAGCCCCATCCTGCCGTATTTGGTGCCAACCTTTTCTCTTCTTGCGAAGCGACCTCCGGACCTACACGCTCAAAGGATTGCACTTCAGGAGTGGATGTCTGGAAGATACTAAGTGTTCACTAATGTTACCTCCTCCTTTCTGCCAACTCAAGTGCAATCCAAAATACTCTGCTTGTCTGTGTTCATCCCACTTTTGGAGCATGTTCAGTGATTTCAACAGCAGTGAAGACAGCCTTTAGTTAGTCTGGAAACCACAGGAGATGCACACTGCATGTTCTAGAGCATCTGTCTGTACAGCTTCATGTCCGGTGACGCACAAAACCCAAGGGCTTTGTGACACTTTGCGAGATGTAGGGGCACCCCTTCACTGCTGCGCTCCTGGGTGCTCAGTGCTGA